GAGTTTTAGGTCAAACTGCCCCCCTCCCCACTCCCCAAGGAAATGCCTTTGGGGAAGGAGAGGCCTTGACTTTGGCCTCAGCTAGGTCTCCTCCCTGCTACATTTATTTTATTGATGTCTTTTTTTTCCACATTCATTTCCAAATATATCTCTCCTTCCTACCCTATGCATTGACTTATCCTTCATAACAAAGATTTTAAAAGAAAGAGGAAAAAAGCTGCTCAGAAAAATTAACCAACATCTCTACTGTGTCTGACAGCAGATGCAATAATATTTGCAACCCCCTATCTTTGCAATGAAGGGAGGGAGGTGCATCTTCTTAATCCTCTTTTGGGGGCAAGCTTGGCCATCATAGCTTGTAGTTTTGTTTTTCTTGGTCTATTTACATTGGTACGGTCATTATGCATATATTAGGACATATGCATATTTCCTAATTCTGCTTCCTTCACTTTGCATCAGTTCATGTAAGTCGTTTCATGTTTCTCTGTATACTTCACAGTTGTCATGTCTAACATACAGCATGAATAGTCTGTTATTTTAATATACCACAGTTTACTTATTTTATTACTCATTTGACGGGCTACTTTCCATTTAGTTCTTTGTTACCACAAAAAGCGTTGCTATGAATATTTGGTGTGTATGAAGACTTTCTGTCCCGGAACTCCTTGGGGTAGCAGGAGATGTCTGGGTCAAAGGGTAGGGGCATTTTGGTTACTTTTTAAATATAAATTCCAAATGACTTTCCTGGAGAGTTGGGCTAATTCATACCTCTGTGAGCAATGTAATAATATATCTGTTTTTTCCGTCTTCTGTCAACTGTCTTATGCCCTTACCAGCTGGGTATGTGTGTGTGGTGGACGTTTTAAGAGGCTTCTTTGGTAAGACAGCGCTTAAGTTAGGTTTTAAATGATGGGCAGGAATCCAATGGGCAAAAAAGGGAAGGAAGACATAGGGAGCAGGGTGAGTTAAGGGATCGAGACAGGAAAGACTCCAAATTGGCAGGCATATCAATTCACATTTTTTTTTTGTTTGGGGCAAGGCAATTGGGGTTAAGTGACTTGCCCAGAGTCACACAGTTAGTGAGTGTTATGTGTCTGAGGCCAGATTTGAACTCAAGTTCTCCTGACCCCAGGGCCAGTGCTTTATCCACTCTGATACCTAGCTGCCCCACAATTCACATTTCTTAGAGTGCTTAAAGGTTTAACAGTACAAAAGATTACAACTTGTGAGGCACACGGGACAAGTAAGATTATCCCCAATTTTATGTAGGAAGATACTATGTGACTTCAGAAAAAGAACTGATAAATAGAAGTATGTATACTATAGTTTTACATATATATATATATATATATATATATATATATATATATATATATATATTTGTGTCTATTAGTAGCCATCTCTAGGATGAGGGAGGAGGGGATAGGGAAAAATACATATAAAAAGTACATAGCAAAGAATAAAAGAAAATTTAGAAGTATAGAAAACAGAGTAGCTTTGAAAAGGACAAGTAGGACATGTGTAAGTAACATGTATCAAATTGTTTGCCTTTTCAATGAGGAGGGGAAGGGAGGGTGGAGAAAATGTGGAACTCAGTTTTAAAAATGAATGTTAATTATTTTTGCATGTACTGGGGAAAAATAAACTACTAAATACATTGTTTTAAAAAGATAAAAAAAGAAAAGGACAAGTAGCACTTATTATATAGTTGGTTTTTTTTAAATAAAATAGTGTGAAATGTAAGCTCATGGTTTAATAGTGAATTGTCTTTTTAGGTTGTGCTATGTACTTGGAAATTTTTTTTGTCTTTATGTATTGAAGTTCAGAATGAATAAAAATGTTTAAAAATGCAATACAAAAAATTTTAAATGTTAAAAAAAGAGGATTATCCCCAATTTACAGAAGAGGCTCAGAAGAGGCCATCCGTGCCAGAGTCAAGGTCTGAAAGCTCACTCCCTCCCTGGTAGGCTAGCACTCTTCACACACGTCGTGCTGGTGAGTTATCCTGATATCCTTCAGGATGTTTTCTAACTCCTTGCTACCAGAGGGCTAAATTTGCGGCTCAGACTTAGTTACCCTCCTTTCTTGAAAATGCTGACTTTGAACTCCTCAAAAATTGCAGTTATCAATGGATGCTCAGTGAGCCCCTTTGCCCCACGGCTAAACGCATGGTTTGCTAAACAAAATCTGAGACAAACTTTTCTTTTTTTTAACAAGCAAAAGTTTTATTTGTTTCATAAACAGGTAAAATTATATTAATGTAAAACAGAGAAAAACGGACAAAATTCTTACATAACAACACACACAGAGCACAAAACTAGAGAGGCCGGATAGGTAGAGCGAGTACATGTCCCTCCCAATTCCTAAGTGAAACCATCAAGGGAATGAGGAGACAGCTCCACAGAGCTCTGTACAAAGTTCAAGGGAGAATCCAAGGAAACACATAGTCTGTCACTCAAATATCAAAAAAGCAAAGTAATTTCAGTGATCACAGAAAAACCTAGAAAACTACCATGTTTGTTATTCTCTCCCCTTAATTTTTTAAAGTTGCTTAAAAAGGATAAAAAGTACACAGACACTCCCCTAAGGCACAAACAGATTTCTGTACAAGCCATTTCAGCAAGGAATTTTAAAAGACATCAAAGGAGAAAGACAGTTTTTAACGACTCATTCCCAGGAGACTTCCTTTTCCTGCACCTGAGGCTCCCCCTGCAGAAACCTGCACCAAGGTGCGATAAGGCAGAGTGAAGTCCACTCCAGGCTTGACCCCCAAGCTCCAATCTAGACTTAAATGTTATCTGGAATGGTTGAGCCAGGAAGTCCCTGCTGGAGACAAGGATTTTCAGCTATCCATCCTAAGTGCTGTAATTAGATATGGGCTCGTCTTCCGTCCCCACCCTTGGTACAGCTGGGTGGGTTTTAGTTTTGGGGGCCAAATTTATGATTTCGGTGGTGTTGGGAACTCCAGGAGACGAAACAACCCGCACCACTGCTGATCTGTAACTGCTCTTCAAATTACACTCAAGAGCTGCATGGGACGTTAAAAGGGTTAAGTGACTTGCCCACCATCACACAAGCCAGTTTTAGTCAGAGATTGGTCAAGAACTAAGGTCCTTCCTGACTCGGAGGCTGATTTTCCATCCACTCACTAACTCATGCTGTATCTTGGTGTATGCATATGTGTGTATGTACATACATGTGTATATGTATGTGTGTATGTGTGTATGTAGATATAGATATATCTATATATTCCAGTGTGTTAACAGTTGTCCCATAAGGAATAAATGAGGACTAGAAGAATGAGTAAAGGAAAGTAGGGGAGCAGAGTTTAAACCTAGTTTAAGGATTAGAGGAAACTAGCTGTGTTGCAAGGTGGTGGCTATGCCCGTAGGGGACAGTGGCTCCCGAGGGCAGCAGACCTTGAATGGGTATGGACAAGAAAGCCAACTGCCAAATTATCCCGATGGGAAGCAGCCAAAAGGAAAAAAACCCAGCTCGCTTCAGAGAATCCTTCATTCCAAATGATTGGAGACCCAGCCCTTTCCAAAGGCACAGCTACCCCAGCCCAGTGAGAACCCGATCATTCTGGGAAGGCTGAGTTGGCTGCCTGCATTAGCTCTCTGGGAAGGTTTGTTTCCTTTTTTTTCTGACCCTCTGACCTACAGCGTGGGAGAAGTCATTTTCTCAGGGGCCCTGGAGCGAGGGAGAACAGCTATTCCTAAGAGGTCAGATTCTTGTGCATCCATGAGTCTTCTCTGGTTCCAGCACTGGATCACAGGCTTATGCTGCCTTTGAGACATCCTGCTTTTCAAGATTGCCAAGAGATTAGGAATGGGACTGGCAAGGAGAGACTGGGTAGACAGTTTTCTCTGGCTTCCCAAGTCACCACAAAGTCATGTCCACCCTTCATCTCCATTCCATCTCACTTTTAATAATGTCCTGTTGAAAGCTTAGCAGCCGAATTCAACGGATACTGTCAAGTCAAGCTCTATTTTTTGCAATAGCACTGGGATGTGGGAGGCAGAATTTCTCTAGCAATGTTCAGCAAAGTGAAAAGTAAGTTCTCTAGCCCTTGCAAAATCTTTTCCTGGCTTCACCTCTCTGCTCCATCAATCAGCCTTTAGCAAAGGTCCATTGTTCCTTTCTCCTTTTGTTTGCCTGTTTTCAGAGATAGTACTGGCTGCAACCCCGTGAAACCAGCTCCATTACCTGTTTGGTCCCTGGGGTACACAGGGCACATGCATACATGTATCGGTCCCGACTTTGTCCACCCATTAGCAGTGAGGTAAAAGAATGGAGTTGTAGCAGTGGCAGATTCCACTGGGGAGAGTTGGGATTGGCTCTCTCAGGGTTGAAGATGCATTCAGGCAAGCTTAAAAGAGGAATCCTCCGAGTAATTTTAGGCGCAATCCTTCTGTTAGAAACTCCAGATTCAACCACCAGGCTCAATCGAAACCAGCCACAAAATCCCAAAACAAAGGCACCCCAGTGCTGACCTGAGGATTCCTTTCATTGACCTTGTTTCTAGTTACTTTAGGGGCTGAGAATTGAGAACTGGAAGGGACTTCCAATCTTCTCATTTCACACATAAGGAAACGGGGGCCCGCAGAGAATGAGAGGCAGTGTGCACAGTGGTTATACTGCTGGACTTAGAGTCAGAAAGACAAGAGTTTGAATGCTACTCTGACACTGTGCTGGTAAGTCACTTAACTTCTGGGTATTAGTTTGCTGTTTCTGTAAAATGAGGATAATACCTCTAGTACCTAACTCACAGGGCTGTGGCAAGGCTCAGATCAGATAACATGTAAAGCACTTTACAAATTAGTGTTATGTAAATATCACTTATTATTAATTATTAAGCTACTTGCCCAAGGTCAAGCAGGTGGCAGATTTGAAATTCAAGGCCAGGCCCTCTGGTCTTCTGAACTCCAAATTCTCTTCTCTCTCCTAATCATACCAAAATTGGACACAGCTCACTGATACACAAGGAAACACGTTAGCAAAGTTAAGGCACAGCCCAATTCTCACCCTTTGATAGCTTCATGTAGGATCTTTGACTCTTCCGGAAGGACAAGGAAAGAATTACAACCACAGAACCACTGGACCTTAGTCTAACTCCCTCCTAGCACAGCTGTGGAAACTGAGGGCAGGAGAGGGCGACAAGGTAGCCCAGCTCCACAGCTAGCGAGTGGCAGAGATGGAGGCCAGAGTTCTTTTCATTCCCTTGAGCTGCCTCTTCTTCGTTGTATAAAATTCTATAATAAGATTTTGGGCCCGTGTTCCTCCTGAATGCCAAAACCTTTTGCTCTTCCTTTCCAGGTTAAAAAGAATGTCACGTCTAAAGATTTTTCCTTCCCTTTTAAAGCAGAGCCTGTGGACAGCAGTATACCACATACTGCTCACCCTAGGCAAAGAGGCCTCTGTTGAGCATTACAAAGAAGCAAGAGAAATACCAGGCAGCACCATAGAGGGCGAATATCCACTGTGGTCATCACGTGCAGCGAGTGGGTGAACTTTAGAGGTTAATTCAGGGAAAAAAAACGGGAAGTGCTTTGAGCACTGAACAAGGCCTGGCCAACCAAACCCCAGCCCCCAGCCCCCAGCCCCCAGTCCCTCTTGGATGGTGATGCTATTTATGGCAGTGACTAGGCAGGTTCAAACAAGCCATTGTCTCATTTTCTCCTCACGTAGCAGGTCATCGGGAGCAGTGCCTGTGATGCTCTCAGAGGCCTGGGCCACCCCTTAATGGTTTCCAAATCTCTGTCCTTAAGGATCAAAGTGGCGCTAATGCTATTGAGCTGCACCAAGGGCCGACATAAAGGTTGGCAGGACAGGGAACCAGAGGGGAAAAAGATGTTCACCATCAGTCCTCCCGACTGCAGGCTTGCATACACAGGGCGTGTATTTGTATCTCTTTAAAATTTTGTATTTCTAGGTGAGGTTCAGCTGTTATTTTTTAGAAAAAAATTGTTAGCTTGTTTGGTTTGATTAACTAAAAATAATGTCCTTTATGATTGGTCAATAAATATTTGCCTTAAAAAATGAGAAAATAAAATTCAGTGGATGCACAGCCTAATAGAATGTACTGTACACATCTATGCTCCTCACATCCTGAGGCCCGCTAATTCATATGCCAGAGTCAGGGTCACCACAGACTTGGTCTAACTACCTTGTAGTACAGCTGTGGAAACTGAGGCCAAGAAATGACAATCGGCACTGGCAAAGGCTTGCATGAAGACTATAAGAGGGAAATGATGGGGGTTACACCAACCATTTCCTCTTTTTAAATTGAAGCCTTTGTCTTCTAGGTTTGTGGTCCCCGTTAGGTCTACACAGTTAAGCTCTCTGTTTTCTGACAATCCTAGGGAATGGGGTGTTCTGGTGAATCCAATATTTTGTTCAGAAAGAATGACCATATATACCACACGTTGGTTTACTATTTTTCAAAGAATTGATGTACAAACACAAGTATACAACAAGGAAACTAGATTGGGCATTATTTACTCTTTCTTGGAAGAGTCACAAGGTCCAGTTGGCCCCGGGGTGGGGGTGGGGGGCTGAGGGGTTAAGTGACTTGTCCAGGGTCACACAGTGTCAAGAGGTGGGATTCCTGACTCCAAGGCCACTTCTCTAGCCACCATGCCACCCTGTCTCTCAGCAAACATAATCCCCACGCTAATTCTAAATGGGGAGGAAGGCATAGTCTTTTCTTGTCTTCTGGTCTCAACAAGCCTGGGGAAGTAGCTCTTTCGAAACAACATCCAAAAAGGCTGTGTGAGAACCTTTCGGATCTCCTGGCCATTTGTTTTTACACCTCACTTTAACTCAACTTGACAGAATCGTTTTTCCCACTCACAATCTCTCAGCTCGACAGCCCTAGGCAATCACTGCCTCTCATTGGCTCTGGAGCAGAGCTCTCCTGCTGCTGCTGGGGACCGGGCAGAGCCTGGTCTCTGAATGAGTTAGGAAAAAGGAAATACACACAAAGTTAAGTTCTCATGGAAGATCTGTTCTCTCCCTTACACCATACCTAGGGCATGACAACAATGACCTAAGGAACCCAAACTAACTGGTTATAACTTCTTCCACCTCTACCTGTCTTCCCTTTGAAAGAGGTGAGTTGATTGAGATTTTATCTAAAAATAAATGTGTCATACCCATCTATCATCTTTGATTTTTGTAATGTACTTTCACATCCTATTTCTAAGCTGATCGTCGTGACAGCTGCTGTAAGGTAGGTAGGCAGGGAAGGCATTATTATCCTTATTTGACAGATGAGAAAACTGAGGCAAAAGACATGCCTTGGCTAAAGGCTCCACCATGAATTAGGGGCAGAATTGAGCCTAGAACCTGGGAGTGGGAGTAGGACAGGAAGGGGGCATCTTCTGAATCCCAGGTTAGGGCTCTTGCTGTCACACTTCATACAATAGTTCTCAAATCCCTAAGTCCTGGAACTCTTGGGGAATTACCTCCTTTAAAAGGAAAAGCAGCATAGACTACCACAGAGGCCAATTGTCTTTGCCAGATTTTGAAGTACATTTTTACTGATTTGCTCCCATGGGTGCGATGGTGGGACAGATAGCTTTTCTTAAATAAGGACCCATGATATACCCAATGTGGCTGCGGCTGCAAGTGGAAGGAGATGCCACCAGGACACCTCAGGCTCTGGTAGCTCTGGTAGGATGGTCAGGAAAAGAAAAAACAGTGGAGTTAGGCTCTGTTCCTCAAGGAGGGCCAGCTAATCTTAAACAATCCTCCTTAAAAAATGCAATGAAGAGTGTCCCACTTCAAGATTGTCAGCTGATGCCATAATGATCAGTTAACACCTCACAAGCTGACAATCCACTAGAGATTAGTTGACAGTTAACTGACAACGGGACCAGGTAGCATGGAGACCCAGGAGAAAAGTTAGTGGGAAGCTAATAAAAACAAACTCTTTCTAAATTTATCTTAGGTTGGAGGACAGACCCTGGCCCAACTACTGAACATCATCTTGCATGCCCCAGATTGCCAGTCCCTTGACGAGTGGTTGAAGTAGAGGACTGAAGAATCTAAGTTATCGAATGACCTCCCAGCTGGCCTTGTCTCTATATTTCAGTTTCTTCTTTATGGAAAGGGGACTATGCAATTGGGGGTCTCCTAATTATAATGATTAAGAAGATAATATTCTTAAAAGCATTTGGAGACTGGGGGAGGGGAAGGGGGAAGGTGCATGGTGCATAAAATTCCACTCTGCAGAGCAGGCATGAGGGTAATGCATCTTCTGGGAGAGGTCAGAGCTCCAGCTCTGTTGCACACAGGACCGATGAAATCACTCTCAAAAGATGGAGATTAAAAAAAGAAAACAAACCAAAAATCAAAACCCAACAAGAAGTTGCTCATTTGTTTTTTTAAACTAAGCGCCCAGATACAGCTGTTCACATCTGGGGTTGTAAACAGTGCATTGATGATCTGAGTTTCCTTCTCCAATATTGTCACCCAAGTCATATTTCTGGTTGGGCAAAAACTGAAAATGTTCAATAGTGACTCATCCAACAGCTTCTGAGGAGGGAAAGAACGTGGAAAGGGACACGAGCACTTGATTGGAGCTGGTCCTCAATTCCTTGGATGGTCTTTGAGAAGCTCCTAAGTCGGGAGCTCTGGGGAGGGCTCAATGGAGCTGGGAGCTGCCACCTCCAATAGCTTAGAATTCATACACATTCATTCTCTCTTCCTCCTTCTCTCTCTCTCACTCACATTTTCTCTCTTTCACGCCCTGTCTCATTCTTTCTCTTGTTCTCCCTTTGCTGTTCCCCAACTCTTCTCCCTTTTTTCTTCACTCTCCCTTCTCTCTCAGGCTCCTGTGCACACTCAACTGAACCAGCCCCAAGAAGCATTGCACAGAGGTTGCCATTTTACTAGCTGGGCAAGTCTGGGCCTTAGAGAAGGCAAGTACTTATGCTACATGACTACATGTGACAATGCCTGCGATCATCTATAGGACAGTATCTTTAGGAAAAGCACTATCTCACCAACAGTAGCTACCCTTCTTCCCTCAGACCCTCTGCCAAGTTCCTTAGCTAGGCCACATCCCTGACCGTTCCTACCATTAAAAATGCTTAAGAAGAGATGGGGAAACCTCTTGGCATGACCAGGGACCAGCCACTGGCGCTGGGTGGCAAGGCGTGGCTCTGGTCTTGTTTAGGAAGACCCCTCTGCCCACTTGAGTGAGGGTGGAGCTGGGGTGTGGTGGAGGGGCTAAGGCCGGTAGATCTTAATGACATCCTTGATGGTGCGTCGGCAGATCGGGCAGCAGGCGTTGGGCTGCTTCCTCAGCTTGAGACCGCAGGTGTGGCAGAGGCACATGTGGCCGCAGGTGTAGATGACCATGTCTACCTCACTGTCAAAGCAGATGGTGCACTCGCCATTCTTGGTGCTTGGAGGCTCCGGAGGGGAGAATGCAGGTGATGTGGGGGGGCTCAGAGGGGAGCTTGGAGCAGTCACTATTCAAAAGAAAAATGAGAAAAACACAAATATGTACTTTCCCCCAAAATATCTTAACCCTGAAATTCATAGTCCACTCTATTCCCCAATCCCATTTCAGCAAAAAGCAATAAATCTTAGCCTCGGCATCAGATTTTGCAAAATACACCTGGCTAACACATACACAAAGTATAAGGTAGGGGAAAAAAACCCTTTAATAACAACTGAAAAGAATATGGGAATTAGTCGTGAAGCAAAGGGATTACATACAAGTAAGGGAAGTGTCTATCTTCCATTTCTATCTTTGCACAGGTGGTTTACTATGAAGGAAAAGAATTCTTTCTTCACCTTTACCTCCTATAACTCTTCAAAGTACAATTTAGCTGCCAGCTCCTGGATGAGGCCTTTCCTGATCTCAAAGACCCCGTGCCCCTCCCAACCCCTACACTGAGTACCTTCTTCCTCTTGAATTTAATTTGGACTATTTGTATTTATTTGTGTACATGTTACAGCTCTCTCCTCACCCCCCAAAAGAACATTAAGTTCTTTGAGGGTAGGGTCATTTCTATTATCTCACACTGTATATCAAGAAAAGGTCAAAATGGGTATGTGATTTAGACAGAAAAAGTGATATCACAAGCACATTAGGGGAGCATGGACTATTTTACTGGTCAGATCTACGGATAAGGGAAGAATTTACAACCAGATAAGAGATAGAGGATCATGGGAAGTAAAATGAGTAATTTCGATTACATTAAATTTAAAAGATTTTGCAGAAGCAAAACCAATGCAGCCAACTTTAGAAGGAAAGCAGAAGGCTGGGGAAAAAAATATAGCAAGTTTCTCTGATAAAGGTCTCATTTCTCAAATATACGGAGAACTGAGACAAATTCAGAAAAATACAAGTCACTTCTCAATTGATAAATGGTTAAAGGATATAAATGGAGTTTTCAGAAGAAGAAATCAAAGCTATCTATAGTCATATAAAAAATGCTCCATATTGCTACTGATTAGAGAAATAAAAATTAAAACAACTCTAAGGCACTCAGATTGGTTAACACGACAGAAGAGGAAAATGACCAGTGTTGGAGGGGATGTGGAAAAATTGGGACATTAATGCCCTGTTGGTGGAGTTGTGAACTCATCCAACCATTCTGGAGAACAATTTGGAACTATGCCCGAAGGGCTATAAAACTGTGCGTATAGGTCTGTATCCCAAAGAAATCAAAGAAATAGGCAAAGGACCTAGATATACAAAAATATGTATAACAGCTCTTTTTGTAGTGGCAAAGAATTGGAAATTGAAGGGATGCCCATCCATTGGGAAATGGCTGAACAAGTTGGGGTGCAGGATTATAATGGGATACTATTATCCTATAAGAAATGATGAGCAGGATGGTTTCAGAACAACCTGGGAAGACTTATGTGAATTATTGCAAAGTGAGTGAACACAGCCAGGAGAACATTGCGCAAATTCGCACATCGTACAAAGGAGAACAACAATACCATATGATGGCCAACTGTGAATGATTTAGCCATTCTGACCAACACATTGATTCAAGACAATTCTGAAGGACTTGATGATGAAAAATGCTGTCTACCTCCAGAGAGAACTGATGGATTCAAAGTGCAGAGTAAAGCATTTTTTTTTCACTTTTGAGATTTTCTCTCTTCTTTTTTTCTTCTGCAACGTGGCTAATATGAAAATATGTTTTGCGTGATTTCACATGTATAATTAATATCACATTTCTTGCCTTCTTAATGGGTATGGCAATGGTGGGTTGGAAAGAGAGATTTGAAACTCAAAATTAAAAAAAACAGGAATGTTAAATAAATAATAAATTCATTAAGAAATTTTTTTAAAGAGGGTAGACACTTTTATTACCATCTTTATATTTCTAGTACCTAGCATGGTAATTATATATATATATATATGTATATATATATACATATACATATATGTATATATATACACACACACACACACACATATATATAGTAGTCTTTTAATATATGTTGAATTAAATTGAATTGAATCTAAGGAAAAGAAAAAAGAAAATTTCCAAGGAAATTTGCCCATGTACCACCACATTAGCTAAATGCCCTCTTGGCAGAAACAAGCTATACACAAAGGAAAAAGGAAATAGTTTCTCTGATACCACCTGTTATAAGGGTCATTATCGCTGGCCTCTCAGGAAAAAGTTGGGGGTGGAATAAATTCCCCAATTATCTATGAAAAGAGGTCTCCCACAGCGGCAAAAATCATTCAAAATGGTTAATCATCTACCACTGGCTTCAATAGAAGCTCTGAATCTGGGAGATAACAATACAATAAATATAGAGAGAAGGATGTGGGGGCCAAGAGAGGACGTGGGGCCTCATATGTGTGTGTTGGGGTGGGGGAGGTTTGTTAGGCAAGTGAGAACAGATGGAGTTAGTGAGTGACAACATTTTTCAGTGGGGCTTTTGATATGATAACTCAAATGTCTCATTTCAATCCTTCAGCTTGTCCCACTGGGCAACTCTGGTATTGCTGAGAGGACAAAGAATCAGACTGATGACCTATGAGTATTTTCATAAGAGGAAGGGTCCAGGTTGTTTCAAGCTACCTAAAGAACACTGAGGGATTTGGAGGAATGTTGACCACTACATCTCCATATTCACTTCCCCTTCGATTCCTAGTTCTGGCACAAGAAAATAGGAAGGAAAATAAAGAAGGATGTGGGGTTGCAGAAAGAAAATGTCAAATTCACCATAAGTTGACTATATTTTAAATGGGTCTAGAGGCCTAATAAGAATAATAATAATAGCTAGCATTTATGTAGTGCTTTAAGGTTTGCGAAGCACTGTACATACGTTTGCCAAATGTACACTCATTTGTCAAAGGCAGAGACTAGTAACTCAAGAACTCAAGAGTTGGAAGAGACGTCTATTCCGGCTGGGTTTGAGCAGAAATTCTCTCGGCTTCATCATTCAGATGGATCATTCCAGTGGTCATGCACTTCAAACTTCCTGAAGGATTCTGCTGATGACACGCCGCCTTATCTTTCCAGGATGCCCATTTCACTTTAGGATAGATTTAAGAATTAAGAAGTTTTTTTTTTATCTATAATCTGTCTCTCTGTAACATTGGCCTGCTCTCGAGGGCCAATCAGAACAAGTCTAACCCTTCCAGTTGATATTTCTTCTCATACTTAAAGACAGCAATCATTTCTCCTTCCCTGCCTCCCCCACCAAAGTATTTCCTTTTTGAGGATCGATATTCCTAGTTCTTTCCAGAATATTCATATATCACATTAGGCAGCTGGGTGGTACAGGAGATGGAGAGCTTGGCTGGAAGTCAGGAAGACTAGAGTTCAAATCCAACCTCAGACGCTAGCTGAGTGATCCAGGCAAGCCCCTTCATCGCTATTAGCCTCAGTTTTCTCATTTGCAAAATGAGGATAATAATAGTACCCACCCACCAGAATCGTTGTGAAGATACAATGAAATAACAGTTGTAAAGAGTCTGGCAAACCTTAAGCACTCCATGTTTTCATTGCTGCTCTCATTTTACAGGACCCTGGCCCTTCTGATCACTCCACTTTGGACCTGGTCCAGCATGTGAGTGTCCTTCCTAAAAGTGTGGTGCCTAGAACTGAACACAGTGCTCCAAAATAGTGGGTTCATCTTTTTCAAGAAGAGGTTGAACAACTGTCAAGGTTTCTGTAGAAAGTACTCGAGTTCAAGAATAGGCAGAACTCAATGGCTTCTGAGGGCCATTCCAACTCTGGCATCCTGCACTGACCAGGGCAGAGTGGGGTTTATCACCTCCCCCAGAGTGGGATCATCACCTCCCTCGTCCTGGACACTAGGCTTCAGATGAAATTAATTCAGGTTAAACAACCTTAGTTGTTTTGGTTGTCATACCATAAATTACTGAACTATTAAACTTATTCAATTATGACATAAACATCCTATTAAACTTGTGTTCCCTTTGTCTCTTTTCCTATCAACTATTGTCTAGCCATGCCACTTCCTCATACCTGTGCAGCTGATTTTTTGAACCTAGGCTTGGGTCTTTACATTTGTCCCCATTACACATCATTTTGTTAGATTTAACTCATCCTGCTGGCCTGCTGAGATTTTATCTGGATCTTGAGCCTGTCATCCAAGTTGTCAGCTCTCCATCCCAGTCTTCTATGTCGTCTGCAAATTGGATAAGCAGGAGAACCGCTGTTGTTTAGTTGTTCAGTCATGTCCGACTCTTCACGACCCCATGGACCACAGAACACCAGGTTTTTCTGTCCTCCACTCTCTCTTGCAGTCTGTCCAAGTTCATGTTCATTTTGTGTGTGTGTGTGTGTGTGTGTGTGTGTGTGTGTGTGTGTGTGTGTGTTAGGCAATTGGGGTTAAGTGACTTGCCCAGGGTCACACAGCTAGTAAGTGTCAAGTGTTTGGTCTGAGGCTGGATTTGAACTCAGGTCCTCTTGACCTCAGGGCCGGTGCTCTATCCACTGCACCACCTACCTGCCCCCTACATGTTCATTCTTTTCATGACACTATCTCTTCATCTGATCATCTGCCGTCTCTTCTCCTTTTGCCTTCAATCTTTCCCAATATCAGGGTCTTTTCCAGTGAGTCCCATCTTCTCATTATGTGGCCAAAGTATTTAAACTTAAACTTCAGTATTTGACCTTCCAGTAAATAGCCTGAATTAATTTTTTAAAGTATTGATTGATTTGATCTCCTTGCTCTCAAAAGTCTTCTGCAGAACCACAATTAGAAAGTGTTAATTCTGTACCACTCAGCTTTCCTTATAGCGCAACTCTCCCAGCCAGACATTGCCACTGGAAAAACCATAGCTTTGACTATGTAGACCTTTGTCAGCAAGGTGATGTCTCTGCTTTTTAGTATGCTGTCCAGATTTGCCATAGCTTTCCTTCAGGAGCAAGCGTCTTTTAATTTCATAGCTGCAGTTGCTGTCTGCAGTGATCTTTGAGCCCAAGAATATAAAATTTCACGCTGCTTCCCTTTCTTCTCCCTCTATTTGCTAGAAATTGATGGGACCAGTTGTCAAGATCTTAAGTTAAGATGTTAAGCTTCCAGCTAGTTTTTACACTCTCCTCTCTGACCCTCATCAGGAGGCTTCTTAATTCCTCCTTACTTTCTGCCCTCAGAAGCATGATAAGTATGCCTTTAATCCAAGCTATTGATAAATACTGTCAAACAGAACCAGGCCAAGGGATTTCTTCTGCTTAGGCCAACATTACTGGATTCTTGAACCTGGCTTCCTCCTTCCATGTTCTCTTTCTTTTCAATTCCTCTTCCCTACTCCTACTTCTTCTCCCTCTATCCATGGCTGTTCCCTTCTGTTTATCTTTCATGTCCTACTCACCTTTTCTCCTCAAATAGCTTGCTCTATACCCATGGTCTGAGGGAAAAACAACCAGGAATGTGACTGTGCATTCATATTCTTCTCTGCTCACGTCACAGAAGTCCTGTTGAACAGGTTTCCCACCAGCACTGGTGCATTCTTGCGAAAATGAACTCTCAACAATACCCTACATGCATCTTTAGATTGATATTTGGAAGAGCTTACGATCCATTCAAATTTAATCCAATCTGAACAGCAGCCTCTGTGAGAATTTCTCTAAAGAATGAACTCCATCTAAGAGACTGGAGGACTGCAGGTATGCAGTTTCCTTGTGACTGACACAATATATGTGTGTGTGTGTGCACATGCGTGTGTGTATATGTCATGTTTTATATGATTGTACATATAATCTATATCAAATTGCTTACTGTCTTTGGGAGGGAGGGAGAAAATTTAGAACTCAAACTTTTATAAAAAATGAAGTTAAAAAATGTCCTTACATGTAATTGAAAAAATAAAATATTATTAAAATTATATATAACACATATGCACATATGTATATATATATACACACACACACATATAAACATATATGTATATGTACATATATGTATAGTCTCTTCTCAAGTAACTTCCAAGTTAAAACTGTATTATTACTACCCTTTTGGTCAGCCAACAAGAATTTATCAAGTGTGTGCCAGGCACTGTGCTAAGTGCTGATTTGGCCTGCATTTTTAGATTTTTCTCCTCTCATCTACCCAGGATCACTGGTCTAGCATACCCACACCTGAGAGGACTGCAGAGGTAAGGGAGGCACATAGGGAGAGAACAAGGAGGGAAATGGGATGGCAAAGATGCCACAAGCCATCCTTGGGCTACACCTTGGAAAATCCAGTTTTAGCTGCAATGGGAAGGTAAGCTCCTGAGGTGGCAGCCTCAGGACATGCCATCTGAATGTGCCGCACCCAAAGGGCTCCTTACCCAGTGAGGACTCAGAAGCTGAAGAGGACCTGTTCACACTGAAGGCCATGTCTGAGTCACTGTCGTACTGCGAGCCGCTGGGGGATCCTGAGGGGGAAGCAGTCACTGGGCTAGACTGCAAGGTGCCTACAAAGCCGAAGGGAAGAAGACGTTAGTCAGCGGCAGTTGGATAAACCTCTCGAGAAGGAAGGAATTCCTCCCACGAGGACCAAAACATTGGTTTGGTCCCATCATCGACACTGAGGAGGCAATGGATTTGGAAGGAGAAGACCTGAGATTCAAACCTTGCTTCTTGGGGGCCAGTCACTCCGCCTCTTTAAATCCAAGTGTCTCCTTCTGCAAAATGAGGCTTAGTACTATGTACTCAGTTTGTCTCCTGGGGTTGTTGGAGAAGAGGGCTTTTTGAACCCCAAAGCACTATTAACAACAGCAATGATGATGATGATGATGATGGGTGTGCTGAAGCCTGCTCAGACAGGCTTGAGAGCCAATGGCTACATTTTCAGTGTGAGCATGTATACTTCAGAAATCAGCAGATGCTACAAATCAGGACTTCATTTATTGTTTAGTTGATTGTCTAAAGATTTAAGAAAATGATGGAAAAGACGTTAATAATGCAGATTAGACTTAAAAATGTGTCTCCCTTTTTGGATGACCAAGTTGTTAAACATTTACCAGCACATCCCTGATAAACAGCTAACATTGATACAGTGCCGTCGAGTCTGTAAAACGCTTTACTTATGCTGTCTCATTTGATCCTCACAACAAACTGGTCAGGTACATAGTATTATGCCCATTCTTTTACAGATGAGGTAACTGAGGCAAATAGAGGTTCAGTGACTTGCCTGAGGTCACACAGTTAGGAAGTGTCTGACACTGGATTAGAACTCAGGTCTTCCTGACTCCATGTCTCTATATTAATTAATATTCCATAATTAATTCTGTAATGTCTATAATTAACTGTTATTCATTATATTTATACGTGTCCTTGTCATCTCCCTTGATAGAGTCTGAACTCTTTAAGGAGAGGGCCTTGTGGTATTCCTCTTTGGATCTCCTCCAGGTACCTGGTAGAGGACTTTGCATACGATGGGTGCTTACAGAATGAAGGCCACTATGTGCAGAAGTGGCTCATGGGAAATGCATCCATCTGGTGCCACTGTTAAGCATGACAAACCCACTGGCTTCCCCCAATTCACTTCTGTTCCACCTAACACTTTAAGAGAAATAGCAGCAGTGACTCATGTGACTTATGTGCTTTATGGTGATTTTCCTCACAACAGATCTGTGAGGTAGGTAGTGCAACCTTAATTTGACAGGTAAGGAAACTGAGGCTCAGAGCAGCCACGGTTGCGGTGCCAGGATGAGATCATTCAGTTCGGGAAAACTGCTTTTGGGACTCATATAGATTGAAACCCCACATGGGATTATGTAGGGGGCAGCCTGGCATTCTGGCTCCTAATGGATTTTGGGTTCCTGCTGTCATCTCATTTTCTAGATCGGTGGTAAGGGGTGGGAGTCCCTGCCACCTGCTGGCATGCTCCTCCAGACATTTCCAACTTTCCAACACTGATACTTCACATCACCCTTCTGCTGCCGGAGACTGAAGAAACTAGGGAGCTGGTGGATGTCCTGGAGATGACCACAGGAGAATGCAGTGTGTGGAGAAGGAGGAATGAGAGGCAGTGGTGAGGGTGGAGACACGCAGAGCTGTGTCCGCATTGGCTGGGTTTGAATCTGTTCACTTGCCACAGAGCTAAAAAGATATTTCAGTCAGGTGTTCCAGACCAGCTCTAGTCCCACCTGGATTGCAAACTTCTGGAGGGAAGGGTCCATGCCTCTGGTTTCTTTATTATCTTTGAGGATACATTGTTTTGGACTTCTCATTTATGAATCAAAGTCTGCGATACCACGTTGCTCACTTTTCAATTAAAATCACAGTTTTATATGTTGAAACAATGTTTCAGACCCCACACAGTGACCCCTATGGGGGATGACCAGGACACGTAGAGCGCCAAACAGCATCGTATTAAAGAGAAGCTCCAGGTGTCAGTGGTGGCATGAGTGAAAAGGGGACTGGATAGGCAGAGCGGTGGCACAGTGGATAGAGAACTAGGCCTAGAGTCACGAAGCCCTGAATTAGAATCTGGTCTCAGACACCTCAGACAGCTTCATGACCCTGGGCAAGTCACTTAACCTTTCTTTGCCTCATATTCCTCATATGTAAAACGGAGATCATAATGGCACCTTCCTCACAAGACTGTCCTGAGGATCAAATGGACAACAATCGTTACATGCTCCGCACAGTGTCTGGGACGTATTAAGCACTACATATGTCATCAGCAGCAGCATCCAGAGTCAGAACACTTGAGCTTTCGCTTTGGCTCTGCCGCTTCCTCTCTGAGTAAGATCCTTGTTTGGCCTCAGTTTCCTTATCTGTAAAGGGAGAGGGTGAGGCCAGAGCAGTGATTCTCCTACGTTGCTGTGTGCTAGACTCCTTGGGGAGTCTGGTGAAGCCTATGGGCCCTTTCTCAGAACAATGCTTTTAAATGCATAAATAAAATGCATGGGATTACAAAGGAAACCAAAGACTAGTGAAAATGAAGATATGTTTTTCCCCAAATCTATCCATGACTCTCCCCCACCCAAAGAACCCTGGGCTAAATAATGGCTAAGGCCCTTCAACCCTAAATTCTATTTGCTCCTGAACTGTCAGCTCTTTGGACTAAGCCATTTTCTCCCATGCAGGTTTAGGTGCTGGGGGTGGTGAGGAAGAGAAGAACAGATGAATGAAGAACTTTGCCCTGCTCAACTCTTCCAAGCAGGAAAGGCAGCTCCCCTCTCGCCATCTGCCAGGAGCAGGGGGGCAGGGGGAGCCCCAGCAGCTGCTGTGGTCTCAGCACTGGGTTTTCAGGTCAGCAGGTGGGTGTGCAGGGAGGGGGCCTTCAATTAATCAGTAAATATTGGTTGACTTTGTGCTGTTGCTGAGCTAGTTGTCTTAGGGGTCCAATCCAAAAAAGTAGATTGAATAGATATTAAATCAGGGGTTCTTAACCTGGGGTGCATGAACTTGGTTTTTAAAACAATTTATTTACTTTTTGTTTTCAACATTCACTTTTATAAGATTCTGAGTTCTGAATTTTTTCCCCTCCCTCTACTCTCCCCTCCCCAAGATGGCATGCAATCTAATATAGGCTATACATGTACAATCATTAAGCTTATTTGTGAACTTATTTTTAAAAAAATGTTTCAATATTTAATGTGATTAACTTCCTATATATTCTATTTTATGCATTTAAAAACATTGTTCTGATAAAGGGCCCATAGGCTTTACTAGACATTTTATTTCTAATATTTATATATTTTTATATACATTAAATTTATATTTATAATATTTATATTACATTGATAAGTAAATCAGCAAAGGGGTCCATGATACAAAACAAGGTTATGATCCCTGAACTAGAGAGAAAGGGAGTACATGCCTCTAGGAAGTCAAAAACAGAAATAAAGGTCCAGCTTAGATAAAAATATTCATAGCAGCACTCTTTGTATTAGCAAAACAAACAAACCAACCCTGAAATCATAATAGCTAATAGGTAGTATTTATGTAGCACTTTAAAGTTTGCACAACGCTTAACAAATACTATCTCATCTGATCCTTCCAACAGCCCTGGGAAGGAGGTGCTATTGCTGTCCTCATCTTGTAGATGAGAAACTGAGGCTGGTAGCAGTTACGTGACTCTTCTGGGGTCACGCAGCTAGTAAGCGTCTGAGGCCATGTCCTGAGGTCTCTAGCTCCTGCTCACAATCCCCTAATTGGGAGCTCTTTGAAGGCTAGGACTGTCTTTGGCCTCTTTTGTATTCCCAGCACTTAGCGTGGTGCCTGACACACAGCTGGTGCTTAATAAATGGTTACTGATGGACAGTCTGTTGCCCAGCTTGTCAGTGGCCTTCACGTGATGCGGTGCTCAGAACTGAACACAGTGCTCAAAGACATCTGACCAGGGAAGAGCACAACGACATGATCCCTTCCTTCATTTTGGGCACTCTGCCCTTCAGTGCAAATAAAGGTCATATTCAGCTCTGACTCCTCAGCTCCCACATCACATTGCATTTGCAATCAAAGAAATCCCTTGAAATGAGAAAGCCTGCAGTCATGGCAGCCTCCTTCCTCCCTTGATGTCCTAGGGAAACAAAGAAGTGAGAAGGAAGCTAGGCTAAGTACTTGGGATGGAGACAGAAGGACCAAATCTAATAAGAATAATGGATCATGTTTCTAGGACACTTGAAGGTTTACAAAATACTTTCCCTCTCACACACACACAAACCCACTAAGTGGTTAGCTCAAGTTTGATTATCACCATTTTATGGTGGAAGAAACTAAAGCTTAGGGTGGTGGAGTGACTTGCCTGGTCACACAGCTAGTGAATGGTAGATCCAGGCCTCCTGACTCCGAAGGCCCGGGTCCTTTGCACTATATCATGTTTTGATAAGTCAATACAGAAATCCACAGAAAACTCCCCTGGGTATTGACGGGTAGGAGGAAATGAAATTTATATGTGCCAGGGTGGTCCAATATCATAGAAAGGTTGCTGGGTTGCAGAGGACCTGGGTTCAAATATCAGACTTGGTCACCTGTATGATCAATTATTTGATCCACAGATATATACGTGCCTACTTCCAGGCAGGTGCGAGGGTAAGGGGGACCAAGATAAAAGTCAAACAGAACTTGTTCTTGAGGAACTTATGATCTAGTGAAAGAGGTCAACAGGTATCCATACAAAATAGATGTAAGATAATCTGGGGTGTGGAGGGGGGAGCTGCTAGCAGCTGAGGGTGCCAGGAAAGGCCTCATGGAAGAGGTGGCATGTGAGCTGGGCCCTGAAGGAAGCTAGGGATACTGAGAGGCAGCGATGAGGAGAAAGGGTATGCTAGGCATGGGGGATGACCGGTGTGGCACGGAGAGAGGAGGTGGAGGATGTCACATGTGAGGAACCCCCAAAAAGCCCATTTGGCCAGTGAGTGCCAAGCAGGAGTTTATATTGATCCTATAGGTTTTCACTTAATCTCTCTGGGACTGTTTCTGCAACTACAATATGAAGGCACTGTCCTACATAACTTAGGGATGTGCATTATTATGTAGTGTGAGTGTAGAAATTCAACATTATCACACAAGTAAATCATATTTCATCAGGATTCTCATAAGTGTTCCATATTATATGCATCTACGTATAAGTCTCATGTCTCCTTTCCCCTATTAGACTGTCAGCTCCTTGAGGTCAGAGACCATGTCTTAATAATAATGGATTACTGATAATAATATTCAACCAATAGTAGATTATTTATAAACTATACAAATGTAAAAATAAATTAACGTGTATAGTTATTTTAATTATCATGCATAATAAATTTTTCATTTTATTACACATTTATTTATATAGTACCTACTGTGTGTCAAGCACTGTGCTAAGTAGTTCACAGATATTATTATCTCATTTGATAGTCATAACAACCTTAGCAAGTATTATTATCCCTACATTACAGTTGAGGAAACTGAGGCAAACAGAGGTTAAATGACTTGCCCAGGGTCACACAGTAAACATCTGAGGCCATATTTGAACTCAGTTCTCCCTGAATCTAGGCCCAGCGCTCCATCCACTGTGCCCTCTAACTGTTCTTATTCTTCTTGGGTTCCCCTAGTCCTAACACAGCACTTTGCACACTGCAGGCACGTAATAAATATTTGTTGAACTGGATCTCCTTGGCATGTACAATGTCCGCAGCCAGCAGGCAGACAGAGCATTGGAATATTGCAGCAGTCAAATAAAAAAATCAGCCCTGTGAAATGTGAGAAATCTGGCAGTGGTGCACACAACTGGACTTAGAGCAGAACCAGCCGTACACAGTAACAGCCACGGTGTGCGATGACTCATATTGATAAACTCAACCCTTCCCAGCAATACGAGGATCTAAGACGTCTCCGAAGGCCTCGTGATCAAAAATGCCGTCCACATGCCAAGAAAGAACTGTGGAGTCTGAATGCAGATCGAAGCACACTATTGGCTACTTTTTTCTTCTGTTGAGTTTTGTTTGCTATGGTGGTTTCTCCTATGGGCTCTAATTCTTACCTACAACATGACTAACGTGAAAATATGTTTAAGAGAAATGTCTATGTAGAGCCCATAATCAGACTGCGCACCCGTCCTTGGGGGAGAGGTGGGAAGGGCGGGGGAGAAAAAGTTAACACTTGAAAGCCTGTGGAAGTGATGGCTGATAACTCAAAATAAATTGATTTCAGTGAATGGACTTACCCAGAATCTTGAGCTGATTGATTACTCCGTGAATTGTGAAGAACGCCCAGAGAGACTGCGAGGTGTCCACGCACATCAGCATGCCTCGGTTGCTGCCGTTGACGCCGTGGTGCACTTCTCCATTCGGCAACACCATGAAGTTGAGGACGTCCCCGCTGTGGAGGACGGGGAAGGCTCGGCAGACCACCCAGTACTCCTTGCGGTCTAACAGGGAGTCAGGATCAGCCGGGAGCTCACTGGTCCTTAACGTCCCTGGGTCACAGGAAGTGATGCCGAAGGAGAGAGCCCCGTAATAGGGCAGGCCCAGGTGTCCGACTTCCACAAAGAGGCTCTCACCGATGTGCAAAGGCCGGTCTGAGAACACCAAAGTCCTGCTGCTCTCCTGCCAGTTGGTGCAGGCTGCCGTCCGGTCCTGAGAGAAGGTGACGTCGGGCCCTCGGGTGGGGTGGAAGTGGAGGTCTGTGTCTAAAAAGGCTGGTACTCCGTGACCCCGAGAACGCCTACTGGAACAACAGGGTATGACGTGGTTGTCCGTGGACACACTGGGGACCCGGCTCAGGTTCAAGTTGCTGATTTTGGCTACCACCTGGTTGTTCTCCAGTTCATTGTTGTTGAAGTTGGCCGAGTCGTGGTTACTTTGTGGGATACAAGTGCTGAACCGAGGGTTACTGAGACGAGAGGAGGCCATGGTCTCAGCAAACATGCTATCTGTGATCAAATTACAAGAAGATACGACATGATTAAAAGTTGCGACAGACGGTCTTTATTCCTTCTCCATTTCTGGCTTTCCCCACCCTTCTGGACAAATGAATACTTAATTATTTCCATTTTTAAAAATCTCTGCTACCCCTTCTAAAGTAGCCTGACAAGGAGGATTGGTCAATGGGTCAAAACTCTACCTTTTTAGGGTGAATGAATGGAAAGAAAACTCATTTAGGAAGTGCTTATAATATGTTGGTCGCTGTTCTCAGTGCTCAGGATACAGATACAAGCAAGAAAGACAATTCCTGCCCTTGAGGAGCTTACATTCTAATAGTTTTGAGAAAAATTACATAGTATGGGAGAAGTAACAAAGTCCAGTCAGACAAACACACAGTAACAACAGCAAATTTGTCATCCAGCGGTTTCAGTCCTATCTGACTCTCCGTGACCCCATTGGGGGTTTTCTTGGCAGAGATACCGGAGTGGTTTGCCATTTCTTCTCCAGCTCATTTTACAGGTGAGGAAACCAAAGCAAACAGGGTTCAGTGACTTGCCCAGGGTCACATAGCTAGTAAGTGTCTGAGGTTGGATTTGAACTCAGGCCTTCCTGACTCTAAGCCCAGTGCTTTATCTACTGTGCCACCAACAAAACACAGGCTCCAAAAGCTAGTTTCAACCCTACTTTAAAGATGCCTAAACTAATTGAGAGGTAGCTAGGTGGTACAGTGAATAGAGCACAAGCCTTGGAATCAGGAAGACCCATCTTCAGGAGTTCAAATCCAGCCTCAGACACACACTAACTGTGTGACCCTGGGCAGGTCACTTAACCCTGGTTGCCTCAGTTTCCTCATCTGTAAAATGAGCTGGAGAAGAAAATGGCCAACCACTCTGGCATCTCTGCCCCAAAACCCCCTAAATGGGGTCAAGATGAGCTGGACAGGACTGAAATGACTCAGCAGCAACAAAGGCTGAGTGCAGCCAAACTCCAACCACCCCGGGAGAGTGCAAAGAGCCCTGGAGAGTGAGGAAATGCTTCATGACAGTCTGAGAGAAGAACAGAGTATCTGAGAGCCAAGGTCTGCCGATGCCAAGAGACCTCAGCCTGGCGTCCTGCGGGCTCACGGGGAGCCAGCGGAGGGAGCAGGAACCGTTCAGTGGCTGGGGAGGGCGGGGCTTTGCCTGGACGGCATTCTTTGGTTGTCCCACCCTCCGTACTGCTGCCAGAATCATCTTTCTTATTCAAAGATTTGGCCATAGATTACGGGATCATAACTCAGAGCTGAAAGGGATCTCAAATATCACCTAATCTAATCCCTCCATTTTACAGATGAAAGGAAATTTAGTTCCGGGTAAGGTTATCCCCATTTTACAGATGAGGAAACCGAGGCTGAGAAAGGGTAAGTGACTTGCCCAAGATCACACAGAGGTACGATTTGAACCCAAGCCTTGATAGCCACTGCACCGTGTTGCCTGTCACCCCTTTGCATACCCACCAAGCTCCTGAGCCTGGCTTTCAAGGTGCTCCACACCCTGGTGCCATCACCCTTTCCACATTTTCCCATATGCTCCACACAGCCCGTGCCCTAGCCAAAGCAGACAGTTCTTGGCCCTCAATACCCCGTGGTATCAGGGCTGTTTGCCTTGCTCACACTGTGGGCTATGCCTGGAATGACCTCCTTCTCCCTCTTCTACTGTTCCAACTCCTGCCCACCCTTTATGGCCCAACTTCAAAGCTACCTCCCTCGGAAGCCGTATTGGTCAGGAAGTAATGATTGTCCCCTCCTCGGACTTCACAGAGCATTTTGTTAGGGATACCTCTCTAGTTCTGATGTCATGCAGGGAATTACAGCTGCTGGCCCCATGCCCCTCCTACACTGAGAAGAGGGCAGAAATCATGTTTTCTCCAAGCTCTTAGTCTCCCAAATGCCTACCATGTCAAACGGATGTGTCCCTAAGTGAGAGTTTCAGCGAGGTGTCCTGGAAACAGCATATGTAACGTACATTTGCCACCACAGGCCCATCCAAGTCTGCCCAACTAGTGTGGGATTCAGACTTACGATCATATGCGGGGTTCTCTGTATGATGCCATGTTTCCTTATACCTGGCAAAGGATACCTTGCCATGAGCAAAAAAAAAAATTGAGAACCACAGGTCTACCACAATGCTTCAAAGGTGCCTAACAAACTTTCCCCACCCTCCCCCACCCCCGCTTAGGCAATCAGGGTTAAGTGACTTACCCAGGGTCACACAGCTAGTAAGTGTTATGTGTCTGAGACCAAATTTGAACTCAGGTCCTCCTGACTCCAAGGCCAGAGCTCTAGCCACTGTGCCACCTAGCTGCCCCTTAATAAACTTTTAAAAACAGCCTATATGGGCTAAGAAGAGTCTGTAGATTCACTCAGTGAGCATTTATGAATCTCCTATTAACTGCCAGAGAGCAGCTAGGAGGCACAGTGCTACGTTTGGAGTCAGGAAGACCTGAGTTCAAATCTGGCCTCAGACACTTACTAGCTGTGTGACCCTGGGCAGGTCACTGAACTCTGTGTGCCTCAGTTTCCTCATCTGTAAAATGAGCTGCAGAAGGAAAGGGCATACCAGTATCTTTGCCAAGAAAATCCCAAATGGGCTCACGTAGAGTTGCATTTGACTGAAACAACTGAACAAAAACAACAAGGGAGTGGGGCCCGATTCCTTTAGGGCCTACTGAGTCCTCCCTGGGGTCCCTTGTTACATCTGAGAACAGAGATAAAGCACAGCAGGGACAGTGGAATAGTGGAGGGAGTCAGAGAAGCTGGATTGGACTGCCAGCTCTTCCACCAGCTCCTTGTGCCTTAGGACATATCACGCTGCCTCTGTTTCCTCATATGTCAAATGAGAGGCTTGGATTAGATGATTTCTAAAGTTCCTCTGACTAATATTCTGTTATCATCTAATCCCAAACTGAGCACTGAATCCAAAAGGAATCAATAAAAGTTTATTGGGTGTCTACTATGCACAAGACCAGATATGCTGGGAATTATCCGGGGAATGGAGAGGCATAAACACATAGTTCCTGCCCTCATGGAACTTACAGTCTGGATGAGGAGAGAAGGCATCAACGTACAAAAAGCTGAATAGCACGGTATGATAACATGGACACCAATAGCATCATTACACAGCACTCTGAAGGGTCCAAATAACTTTCCCTGTGATTCCCTTGTGAGGTAGGTAGACCTAGTAAAAGGTACACGACGAATTGCCAAGTAAGGGAGCTAGTTAATACCACGAGGTTGGACGAAGACAGCAGAGTGGATAGTCATGAGCACCGGATTTGAAGTCAGAAGGCCTGGGTTCAATCCTGACTGCTACTTTCTCTCTGGGTAAATGCCTACAAATTACTTCATCTCTTCAAATTCCTAGTCCATAAAATGAAAAGGTAGGAAAAGATGACCTATCTAAGTCTTCTTCCAGGTCAACATTTAGTCCATTCACTTATAGATCTAGTTCTGGAAAGAACCTCAGAAAGCCATCCAGCACAACTCCCTCATTCTAAGGATGGGGAAAGTAAGTTAAATGACTTCATATTTACATCCACAGATCAAGTGACTTGCCCAAGGTCATATAAATAGTAGGTGATGAGCGGAGTTGGCGACAAAGTTTCTCTGACTCCTAAGTCAACGCTCTTTCCTCTGCACTGATGTGTGATGTTAGATGTGTTCGAATCCCACTTCTGCCACTTAATACCTGTGTAACCTTGGATAAGCCAGAGAACCTCCATGGGGTTCAGCTTCCTTGACTATAAAACTGAAGTGATTGGTGTACATGGCCTCTGAGGTCCTTCCCAACTCTAGATCTTTGATCCTGTGAAGGGGGTATATTACTCAGGGTGGGAGCAAATGGGCCTAGAAGGCTTCATTCCCACCTCCCCCCTTGATGGACACAGATAATAGTTGGCTCTATTTGATATCACCACCAATGACCTTTCTGTACTTTTTCTTAGGCTGAATATGTCTGGTGCCTGAAACTAGAACGTACTTTCCAACCACAACCAGATTTCAGTGAAGAAAGAAATGATGGCAAAAAGAACCAGAGGCAGCTTGCACTAAGCAGTGTCTACCCTTCTTTCAGAAAGCCTAGGACGTTATTTTTGTCAAGTGCCGGAGATTCCAAGGTAGACTTGTTTGAATATTTGATTTTGTTTTGTTTGTTTTGATCGAAGAAGATGAAAGTACGTGGGCTGGAAGAGACAAGACAGCTTTGGGATCTCTTACTACTCCAAAGCTTCCATAGTAATCTAAGTAATGGAAGCTGCAGATTCCAACGGAAGGAGGCATCTGGTGATAAGCAGTATACCCACACGGGATGAAAGGGGATCACCTGACCATTTTAAGAGCCTCATAAATCAACCCTGGGGCAGGTCTTTGGCCAGTGAGGCTCTTGGTGTTTCCAGAAGCGCTACACGTTCCCACTGAGCCAATACTACCTTACTCCATCTTGCAGTGAAAGAAAAACTCTCGTCTCGTCACTCTATTTCTGCATTCACTGTGTATTTGCTGTGTGGGGCCTAGTAAATAGCATGCTAACCTTGCAGCAGGGGAGACCTGCGTTCATCTCCTTCCTGCCTTAGATACCTATTAACCGGGTGAACATGGGCAAATCACTGGACCTCTCTAAGCCTCAGATGCCTCAACTATAAAGTGGGGATAATCTTACCTATATTACTTTCCTCACAGGGTTATTGGAAGAAACATGTCAGTTATGAATATTATAGCCCTCTGTGGCTTGTTTCAAATTTATCCTGCATGTAACTTGTTTGTAGATGATTGTCTCCCCCATCAGACTGTGAGCTTGTCGAGAGCAGGGAACGTTCTGTTTACGTTTCTTTGTATCCCTAGCACATAGTAGGTGCTTAGTAAATGTGTACTGACTATTATCAGATGTGATCATAGCCCGACATAATGTGGGCATTTAGGTGGTATGTAATCCATTTGCTGGCGGATTGATTTTTCTCTGTGCTATACATTTCC